GAATGGGAGTTAAGATTAGGATTCAATAGAATTTATGAAGTGGGGATGTTGGAGTTAGTTACAAAGTAGTTACAGAATTAGTTTGGTGATTGAACATCACTTTAATAGTTACAGTGATAGAAGGAGATCTATAAAGACTTGTTGGCATTTAGGAACTGAGTTTTTTTTTTTTTTTGTAGAAAGTGAAAATACTTAGAGGAGAATTCTCCTCTTTTCATTGCTGTCATTCAATATGTAACAACTGAAGCATTATTTCTCTTTGTTTCCTTTTCCGTATTCACATCTTTCTCTAAATTCCCATGTTCTGTTTATAGGTCCTAAATTATTGTAGCAAAAAAATAAAGTTTCTAAGAGTGAAACTAGGATGATATTTCTTCTTTTGAAGAATTATTTAATGCCTTTGATTGTTGTTTTGGAAAAGCGTAATAATATTGTGCGAAAAGGAAATTGTTCTGTATATACGGGATGGAGATCATAACCAGAGTATTTTTGAATGTCATGATAATGTTGTCTCAGTACGTTTATTTTTGTTATAATCAGAGATTCATGACTTGGGAGGTCCTGGCAGGGTTTGGACACAGGACTCCGATGAACCTATGCCTTGCTGTACTAAGGCCCATTGTGTATTAATACATTATGCATATGTATTTGTCAAAACATTTTATGTTTGGTAATAGCATTTCCAATCCGTGGGCATGATTTGACTATTTATTTTTTCTCATTTACTATTGTTTAAATTTATCATATTCAGAAAATGGAGAAGGACTTCAAATTCTTCATTACGAAGTAGGGCAAAAATACGAGCCTCACTATGATTACTTCCTTGATGAGTTCAACACTAAGAATGGAGGCCAACGTATTGCTACAGTTCTTATGTACCTGTAAGCTGTCATTGTCTTTGCAAATTATGTTCTTGCCTGTGGTTTCTAATGGATTTTAGATTGAAACATGATATTTCCCTTCGTTTTTTTTTCTGCTTCATCTGCAGTTCAGATGTTGAAGAAGGTGGTGAGACTGTATTTCCTGCAGCAACTACAAATTTTAGCTCTGTACCATGGTGGAATGATTTATCCCAATGTGCAAGAAAGGGTCTGTCCGTGAAACCAAAAAGGGGTGACGCTCTGCTATTTTGGAGCATGAGGCCTGATGCCTCATTAGATCCATCTAGTTTACATGGTTAGAAACTCTTCATAATTGTCACCAGATGAGCTGTAAATACAGATTGTTACTATAGTGCGTTAAGTTCAAATTTATCCATATTTTACCACATTCAATTATGAGCCATTTTTCTACATTTAGGCTCTGCTTGGTGTATGCATTTGCTGCTGCGTTTATTTTATTCTTCTGCATGCTTGCTCTATTTCAGGCCTCTGAGAAAATTATAATGAATGTGTTATGTGTGAACCATATGTTGAGAATATTCTTGCCATCTCATTCCATAATTTTTTCTTGCCACTTGTGGAAATTAAAAGCCACACGACACATTGTTCTATTCTCACAATTTCTTTTGGTTCCAGGAAGGCAATGACTAGTAAATTAATTTAAATTTTATCATTGCTTCCAGGTGGTTGTCCAGTAATTAAAGGAAATAAATGGTCCTCGACAAAGTGGATGCATCTCCATGAGTACAAGGTTTAAGCCATCGTCTTTGCAGGTACTCCTAGACACCAATTATGAACGTATTCTTTTCTTGTAAATAGTCACATGATCTAAGATAACTTTCAGATGAAAATTCGCCTCCCCTTTTTCTAGACCGGACTTCCCAATTATATATAAATAATATATTTGCTATGTACCAAAAAAAAAATAGTCCAGGGAAGGTCAGCCATTGTTTCTCCAAAAACAATTTTTTGCTGTATATAAGTAAAACAGCCATTGTTTCTCATCATATATATGAATGTTCACATACTAGCACCTACCTTACTGTGGTTGTTGGATCATTGAACCTCCTCAGTTGACACATTTGCTGAGCACCTGATGGTTTTATATTTGCAGGATTAATGTGGTATACTGAGTATTTCATCGCTTTTTTGGACTGGAGAAACACAGAGTCAATGCATTCATATTAACCTCTTATACCTGGTGATGTTTTCCTTTGCTCAGGTGCGTCAGTTTTCTTCACATGTATAATACAATCATTTGCTTTTTCTTTCCCATGGGTAGATAATTTGGCGCTGCCAAGGGAAAAAAGAGTGCTTATGATTAATGATTCGAGTTACAATTTTTATAGTCTTAATAGAGTTTTCGAAGGGAAGATGTCTCTAGGCAAGAGGCTCACTAGGGAGTGATGTGTGGAATACAAGTAGAGATAATTCTGTAATTTAACATAGTGAAAGGATAGTATATTGGTCATAGAGAAGTTTTTGAGAATGTGATGTGTTTCAAAGAATAAAAAAAAACACATTTGGAGAAGAAACAAAGTATAGTCTGTAAAAAAGTTTATTTTTCCTGCAGTATTGGTGTAATTTTTATTATGTGTTGTTTCTTCTTTTAAGTAGTTCGTCATCAAGTCAACATGATATAATCAATCTCATTTATTAATATGACTGTTGTGTTACACAACTATTCATTATAGTTGTGCATATGTAAAATCACATTCACATACTTTAATCGTTATAGAATTAATTATTCTCAATTTTATTTTAAGCTATTGCTGAATTCTAGGGTGACTGTTAAATTTTATTACAGAAACTTTAGATGCTTTTTGGGTTAGAATTGAGTATCTGGGCAAAGGCTAGCGGACTATCCATGGAACCCGCAAGCCTTGTGGTTGTCAGTTTGCATGTTTTTAAGCTAAAAAATGAATGCGGGTTTTTAAAATTTGGTTTGCATTATCTATGTTAAATGAGTTTTACCCGTCGCATCCATGGAAAAAGAAGTCTGATACTACAATCCAATATATTAGGTTTTTAATTGTGTTGTTAGAGATGGTTTCACCAACAAAAAACTTCATTCGCATTCAACTTCGAATTATATTTTAAATAGTTTTTCTTAGATTGCCTTCAATTTAAAGCCCTAACTCACCTCCAGCATATGTTATGCTACTTTGATTCTGACAGAAACATTTCTTGTCTCAATACAAAAATTAAGGCAATTTTTTTGTTTGCATGTGGTATAGTAGATATAATGGACAAAGTTTAAGAGAGTGAAAAATTGGAAGAACCTAAAACATCATGGATGAATTGAAATATGATTGATTCATATTGTTATGGGTTGTTTTGGAATAATCTTATATTTTATTATGTAATTTAATATTTAATGTACATTATATTTGAATTTAAAATTTTCTATTTTAATTTAATGAACACTTAAAATGTGTTTGAAGTATATTAAAAATATTTTTAACCATAATTTTTGGGTTGCAGGTAAGCTTCCATGTAATTTTTCCTGAGAATGGATTATTGTTATAAACTCAAGCGCATATTCAAATTCGCTTATGAGATTCTTATCAGAGACAAAAGGTGTAAGGACGACAACCTAAAATGAATATCTCAAAAATTAAGGAATAATATTGATATCAAATAAATCTATATTTACAGGTATTATCTAATTTATTAAGATATTTTTAATTTATTTGACACTCTTTTAAAAATTATATAAGTATAAATAGTTTATTATTATTTAATGTTGAAAAGGATAAAATGTATATCTTTTAATATTATATTTTTTTACATCATATTTTCTCATTTTTAGATTTTTTATAAAATTATTTACTAAATACATCATTTTTAGATTTTTTATTAAATTATTTAATAAACACATAGATGGGTTATACAGTATATTCATTGCATAAAATACATAAGGATAACATACATAGTTGAAATTTCACTTTGAGATGGAAATGATTATGAATTTATTTTGGAGTCCAGAAAGATCCTATTCCGTTACTATTTATAATTGAAAAATTGTACAAATTCATTTACTTAAATTTATTTCCTTAACTGCAGGAGTTTCGTAAAATTTTATTTTTTGTAGTTTTTATAATATTTTCAAAACTCTTACTGTATGACGTAATTTTTAAAAATTGTATAAAAACAATCTTAAATTAAAGTGATGAACGAATTAATTTATCTTATTTTGATCTGGTGTAGATTTGTAAAAATAAAAAAAATGAAACGGAGTATTTCTCATGATAATTTAATTAATTTTTTAATTTATTTAATTAACGTAATTAAAAATTTATCATTTTTATAAAATAAATTGTCATAATTAATAATTGAATTTAATTTAGAAATGTTACAAATTTAAATTATAGTATCACCATTCATTTTTATCATTCAACTAATACAATTTTTAAAAAATTAATCTTTTAAAATTATTTATTTTAATTTTTAATTTTAGAAAAATACTAACCCTTGCCAAACGGTGAACATGCAACCCATTTTGTTAACTAAAATATTTCAAACTTACATTAAAAACTAATATTATATGAACTAGACGTACAAAACTTAAACAGACTATTTAAAAAGATTTTTATCATTTTAGACAGAAATGCAAGAACGATATGATCCCCTTTAAAATTTACTAAAACGATACAATTTAAAAAAAAAGTAAAGAAATGGATAGAAATTCAGAAGAATGACTTAAAAAATTATGAAAAAAAAAATTGCAGTCATGTCAATTAAGGAACCATTTATAGTTAGTTATCTTAAGAAAAAAGAAAGTTGTGGGTTACCAATTTGTCTTATTATACAAACAAAGAAAAAAAATCCATAACTATCTTGAGTTCACTTTTGGATTAGATGATTTATCCTTTCACCAAATACAAATAAATTTATTATTTGATAATAATACAAATTACGTAATTGCACAATCTTTTAAATTATCTAGGCTATTATATAAAGAAAAAGAATCACTTTTTTAAGATCACTTTTGAATTGTATGGTTTTTTATCCTTTACTAAATAAAGATAAACTTATTATTTAAAATAATATAACTTGGGTAACCACACAACCTCTTCTTACCTTAAAAATAACTGTAAATCTTCAATGATTCCAAAATTGGTATAGCTCTCTCACGACGATACGATATTAAAAGTGATAGTTGTAGAATGCTGGGGGTTACATCGTATATGAGCATGATGGAAACAGGCAGTGAATGGTAATAATAATGTAATGGCAGTTACATATGAACAATAAAAGAAAAACAAATAATGGTGGTAATGACAGGGATTAGGGATTGTATCAACAACAATTATTGTAACGAAGATGGACTATCAAAAGAGGATGAGGGAGATCAATTATCCTATCTTGTTACAATCAAGACAAAAAATACACCACCAATAAAATAGGATAAACAATATGATATTGATACATTAAAACAATTGATTATAATAAAATAGAATATCATTATGTATCACAACTAACATCAAACTAACCAAATGAGACAGAGGCAAGTGTAATTTAACTGAAATGTTAAGGTGAATGTGTAGTCAAATTAAAAAGGCAAAATACAAAATGATTATATACAAGGAAAGGTTAGCATCACTGCTTGAGTAAAGCTGACACAATCAGTTAAGATGATTTTCACTTTACAAACAAGGCCTATAGAGACTCCAATAAAAAAAAGTAGGTAGCATGATTGTTTTGTCATGTGAAAAGATGGAGAGGAACCAAAAACGACATTGGAGGAAATTGCAAAAGGAGATCTCTAACGTTTTTAACAATGTCAAATGTTTAGTTCACGTAGCTGACATCACCTAGGGAAATATGACTTATGTTTTTCCGCAAGGACTTTTAAAGTAGGAAAACAGAAAAGAGATGATTTTTTCTATAAGTTAAAATTTAAAAAAACTATATGAGAAAGTTTATACATAACCTTTATAAGTTATTATGGAGTAGTTCGTTTAAATAGATCATTGACTTTGTTGTTGTTTACTCTCTCTTATTTTATTATTTTTGAACAACTTAGAAAAATGAAAAGTCAAATAAAAAATAAAGAGCGAAAATTGATAAAAGAACAACTAGTATTATGTAAATGCAGAATGATGCACAGATGTAGACTTTTACTAATCCAATAATAATCTACAGATATGAAAAAAAATAATAGCGAAGTAATTTGACAAGTCGAAGCTGCTTACAAAATATGAATGCAGTGCCATCGTCAAAAATTTGAACGCTTTGAGAAAGAAACATTCTCACTACCAATTCTACGAAGCTGGCTCAAAATCTCATCGAAGTCTACAGGGGGTTCACATGAAAAGTGCACCTGCTCCCCTGTATAGGGATGCTGAAACCTACAAAAACAAAGGATTAACCGCAAAACCTTAACAATCTTGTTATGAAAAGAGATGAGAAGCAAGGTTTAATGCGTTAATAGGCTTCTATCGTCTCACCCCAGTGTCAAAGCATGAAGGCAAGGCCTATCTAGCCTAGAAACCATTTGTACAATTTTTCCATGCAAACTGATGGGAGTTCGGGGCCTTAGTAGTGACAAGACCATGCTTTTTGTCCCTCCATACACCTCATCACCGAGTAAAGGAACTCCCAAATACTTAGCATGAGCACGGATCTACAAAAGTAAATAGGGATCGTTTTGGGAGGTAAATTGTTAGCAAGTTCTAGTGGAATCATATCCTTCAAAATATCAAATGCAATTACAGATTTTTCTTCAAAATATTGGTATCTGTTATTCATATACAATTGTGTAAATATATAGGGTGTCCTTGGATTTTAGTTGGAACGTTCAAATCCACTTCCAGTTTACTTTTCTGCCAACATGTTTGACACATTTTTTCAAATCCAGTTAAAGGTAAAATTCACCTTAAACTCTAATTGATTTAAAAGCTAAAGTGAATTGCTTTTCTTCAAACTCAACTGAAGTTAATTTCCTAACTGAAATATAAAGGCAGTTTTTGTAAAAGGAAGAAAGAAAGGACAGCAAAGCTCGACTTAAAGTTCCACCAGCAAAATCAGCTAACAAGATGTGAAAGACCCTGTGCTGACAGCTCTCAGATCTCCCAAACTGCCACTTCACAGGGAATTATGCAAACCTTCTATTAAGACTATGCAAAACAGATAAATGGCCATCCAAAAAGAAATTACAATTCCAAATCACCAAATGCAGTACAAAGTAATACTAGAATCATAAATATTTTCAGTCCAGTAGACTAAAAAAACAAACTATCCTTTATTGTTTTCTCCAGTTTAAAAGATAAATTCCCATGCGGAATTTTAGATAGCATAATCTTCAAACGGTTATAAAAGTTGACTGAAAGCTGTTTGGGCAAACCACATGGGTTCAACCTAGGTAAACTAGTATGTAGTATACGAGCTCACCATCAAGAAAAAATATGTAATTTACCCATGCATCATTTCTCCGAAGTTATGCGTCATTAAGTACCTGATGAGTGCGTCCAGTTTCCAACTTCCACTCAACCAATGAACAACTTCCCCCAGCAAGTATCTCAATTACTCTGTACCTGAGATATGGTAAATAATAAATTTTAGATGAACACATGCTCCTGGTGTAGGACTAGCTATAATAAAACCTTAAATATACTTGTTCTCAAGGGCATCTTGCCACTTAATGGATCACACAAAGTGAAATACTAAATGATTTTAGTTTTGATTGATTTTTAATGGATCACACAATTGCTAGTCACACAAGTTAAACTAATTGCCGAAATCGTGTGAATTAAATAATAAAAAATTAATTCCGTGTCGTGTAAATATTTGAAGTATTTTATGTAAATTTATATTGATATATTCCAAATTTCACAAAAGTCGAATATGATCAGAAGCAACTAATATAGTTCACATTAGTTAGCAAATAACCAAAATATTAATTAAGTGTATCAGGACCATAAATCACCTACTAGCAGCATGACGGGCATTTCTAGAATTGGCTGGTCCAGCTACAGCAGTCATACGCAACCGGTTATTAAGATCACGGCCAACTGGAACCTCAACTCGCCCAGAAACCGGAGAGGGTACCCCAGCAGTGAGACTAACATAAACCCTCTTGATGGTGCGTTGCTTAAATTGCTCGGATAATTTCATATGTGAATGCTCATCCTGCAAATCATACAAATTTTTCAACGAATAAACAAAACTTCCTTTCCTTGCTAAAATATGGTGCTAATGCAAGGTTTTGAGAAAGTCCAAGAAACACCTTTGCAACAACAAGTAACCCACTTGTGCCTTTGTCCAATCTGTGTACAATCCCTGGGCGAATTGATGACATAGACAATATAGAATGTGATCCTTCATAAGAACTTGTCATGGAGCCATAGCTATTAACCTCGTCATCAGAATCTTCTGTATCTGAAAGAGATTCGTCTTTAGAAAATTCAACATTTGGAAGATTGAAATGGTGAAGAATGCCATTGACAAGCGTCCCCGATGTATTTCCAGGAGCTGGATGCACAACCTAGGTAGTAGACCAAATAATGAAATTGGCAATTTCAGTATTAGCTGCTAATAATAATGCCTTGTGAATATTTACATGATTAGAAATTGGAGTTAAAAGGATAGATAACTTCACAAATCTTACAAGTCAGGTTCGGAATTACCATGTGTGCAGGTTTATTTATGACTAGAACATGCTCATCTTCATAAACTATATCCAAAGGTATATTTTCTGGCACAGCCCTCAATCTCTGCAACTCCGCGATTGTGCATTTGATCTGATCCCCAGCTTTGACGTTGAAAGAAGCCTGCTCAAACATTAATTAAAAAATGTAACTTAATCTGTATAGTTCAAAACAGTTAAAAGTGGGAAGACTGGACAACGATTAAACCTATCAAGGGATAATGAAGGAATCCAGCTATTTCAAATGAAAAAAAAATTATGATCGCTTAATTAAGAATTGTAATCCCTGCAACTCTGAAATTACCAAACAAATAGCAGTGTCAAAAATAAAGTCAAGGGCTTGTTTTTGTGAATCATGTAGGAATGAATAAATCATTTTTCCATTTTGACTGTCATGTGGAAAATAATCTTCTAAATAGATTTGTCTCTTGGTGTGAAATGTGTATTTTCCACAAAATATTATTAAGAAAATGGATTTCTGAGTACTTAAATGCCCAGATTGATTATTTAATAATTTATTAGTATAAAATTATAAAAGAATTCCATACTTATGCAACAATACAAATGATTGGTCACGATTCTAAGAGATTGTACACTTCCCATTTCAAAACACTAAATCCTATTGCCGTAATTATGTTGCCGAATGTTCCTATGGCTTCGTCTTCATCTAGTTGCAGAAGTAGTCAGTCATTTTTCAATCCAGCACGATGTTAAATTTTGATTTAATAGTACGTCTTAGTTAATTTTATTATTAACATAGCCATTCTATTTTATTAGTTTGTCAAAAAATAGAGTACATTAAAAGGAAAACATATTTCATTTAACTAACAACAGTCAGGTAATGAGTGTGAATATAGGCATACTAATATACATAGGTACAAGGATGGACAATGAAGTTTCTATGTGTGCAGATATGGATTCACGGACGGCTCTCTCCTAAAGAAGGGATTGTAGTATAGTACCTAGTCCAAGCTCTACTTATTGTGATCCCAACGTAAGAGTCCTGAGTAATGGTGATTCCTTAAACTCTCCGATCGCAGCAAAGAAAACCAGCATTACAGATTAAGTTTCAATTTCGAATACGCTATCATTACCGAAAGGAAGCGCCTCCAATATCTAAAACCTGGGAAACGGAATATTCTGTAAAATTTAAGCACTGCACATTTTCTATTCAAGAATAAACCACGCATAAACAGGATATCTTCCACAACAGAAATATGCAGATTTAAATCGTTGCACAAATTGCCACAAATTAACATTGAAACTCTTTTTAAGAGAAACCAAAAAACTCGCACACACAATCCGAGTTGATCATCCACAGGTAATTGCAGTTTTTCTTAGTATTGTACAAAACCGACGTTACAACAGGTTCAGAATCTAGTGCATGAACGCGACTCTGAGATTACCTTATCAACGACACGACCATTAACATGAACGAGTCCCGATTTGATACTTGATTGAACGCGTGCTCTACTAATGCCGTTGATGCGGGAAGAGATCCAACTATCCAGTCTTAGTTTTGCAGATCCTATTGTGCTATCGACAGCCTCCTCCAACCGCACACCGGAGAAGTTCAATTTTCTATCTCCATCGGAGTCTGAGCCTCCGGTGAAACCAGAACCAGCGCTCGCTGTGGTAGAACGAAATTTATAGCTTGTAGCATAGAAAAAGAGTGAAGAAGAAGGTAAGGTACGAAACTGGAAATGGAACGCAGTGGATGTTGAAACGCGGCAACATCCACATGAGTGAAACGATAACATCTCTATTCGATCAATCTTGGTTACTTTTCAGTTGCAGGGTGGGATAAAAACTGTGACAGAAAAGTTGAAACGACGACGTGTTAGTAGTGTAGGGCCTGAGTCCATAAGAAGAAAAAGGAAGCGGAACCCTTGTGGACTGTTGCGCATAAGTAAGGACCCCACGGCCCACTTTCAATTAAGTATTCCTCAATAAAAATAGAATTATGTTTAAGTAAAGACAGTTAATATTTTCTAATATTTAGAAAAATTAAAAAGTATTTATTAATATTTTTTGGATTAGACAAACTGTGGTAATAAAACTTCACACCTATCTATAATATTTTTATTTATAAATAAATTAAAAATAAATAATTATTAAATACTACTCTCTCCGAATATAATTATTAAATACTACTCTCTCCGAATATAATTATTAAATACTACTCTCTCCGAATATAATTAAATAAAATTAATTCTTAATGTCATTTAACTTAATGAATTTTACTATCTAAAATAAAACAAAATAAAATCATTAGACGGTGCTTTGGAATGATATGCAAAAATACATTAAAAGTAATTAAAAATTCTTCATATTTAAATTTTCCATATTTTTGGAAAAAAGAATAGAAGAATCATATATTAGAAATTGTAATTTTAGTTTTAAAAATAAGGAAGACGTAACAGCACCTTCTAATGCTATGAATAACAATAGTTGATGACGTCTTGATCTTTTAAGAACAAGGAATGGCCATTTTTCCGACAGAAAATCAAACTTCAAACCTAAATTCAGATCACGTCCGTTTCCACTCATTCTCGATGGTAGTATCTCCTTTATCTTTTATCAATATTGTCATTTTCTTTCAGCCACATATATTCCCAACAAGAAGAAAAGCACCCATAGAGCTATATATTTATATCTGTGTTTATATATATATAAGTTTTCACCCTCTTGGCCACAAACAAGAACATTGAATTAATTGGAACAGGAAGTTAATTAGTTATTAACACACTGTTCTGACGGTCGACTGTTCTGACGCATTTGGGGTGCACTTCATAACCACATTGGAGACACTGGTAGGCCCAACTAGACCCTTGTTCATCGCACACACAGCAGATAAAGGGTCCTCCACCGTTCCCATCAGAAACCAAATTCAGGTCATGCCGATGACCTTCGTGATAAACCAGAGCCGGAAGATCCTTCGCCTCTTCCTCGAGCTTCTTTTCCAGTTCCTCCACTTTGGCGTTCGTGAAAGGGTACGCGTTCTCTTGGTACAAGTTTATCAAGCTCCTACCATGCACTGTTATTGTTTTACCATCAGGACCTACGATCACCAACCATGGAATCCCTTGCACGTTGAAGTGTCGAACGAGGTTCTTCACCTCGGAATCACCGAAAGGCAAAGCTAACCAAGGCATGCTGCTGTAGTATGACTCAAAGGATGCTTTGTCACGGTCGCTGGATACCAGCACAACTTCGAAGTCTTCCTCTCCCTTCTCCGCTAGCTCCTGCTTAATCTTCTCGTAAACGGAAATCATTTTGGGAGTGAACTTGGCGCATGGCACGCACCACTCGGCGGAGAAGTAGAGTGCAATTGTTTTACCCACTAGAGAAGCGACAGGTACCTGTTTACAGAAGCAACACCCGTCACGCGGAACAGGAACAGGAACAGGATTCTCTGCATGCACTTCAAACAACAAAACTTCGTCCACGTGCAACACAAACTCTATTCCCATTCATGGATTCTACCAACATTTTTTTCTATAACTATATTAAACTAAGTTATTATTTGATAAAGTCAGAGAAAAGGTTTTATGACAAACATAAAAAATACGACTTTTTTTATTTTTCATACAATTAAAATCGATTAAAACAAAATTTTCTACAAAAAATATATATTACAATTAAAAGTCGTGAACACTATATTACAATATATATATTGTATTTAGACTTTAAATTATGTTACATAATTATTTCAAGTTTCTTTGCAACCATCTTGAATTAATATTGAAATTCAGCTTTAACATTACGATTAAGGAGATGAAGTACAAAAAGTGGAAAACAGTGGCATGCATGCAAGGTGTCGGTGGTAGAGAGTGTTAATTACCTGTTTAAGGCCAGAGTGAGTGTGACTCAGAACATAGTCTCTATGCTGGTTTGACAGCAAATTAAGGAGGGTCTGGTTTTCACGCTTCACTTTGTCTTCCTTTCGCAGCTGCTCCAACCTCTCGTTACAGAACGGGTAAGCTTCGGCTCCGTAACGGTAAATAAGTTCAACCCCGTCGCGAACTGTTCCCTCATCTTTACCATCCTCTGGTTGCAACAAAATCAAGCACGGAATGGCTTCCACCTCATACTTTCTGGTCAACCATTTCTTCGTTTCCAAATCAGAGAACGGTATCGCTAGCCATGGCATGTTTCCGTAGAAGCTACTGAAAGCATCCAAGTCTTCGTCAGAGGACACATAAACAATCTCAAACTGAGGGAAACGGCTTTTCAACTCCTCGTAGATTCCAACTAGGGCTTGGGTGAATACGCCGCATGGTGGGTACCAATTCGCACCGAATAATAGACCCACTACTTTCCCTTCAAGATCACTGACCTTCACCTGCGTAAGATGCACCGTTTCCAACAACCTCAACTTAACCAAACAGCGACTTTCAATATGTAAGAGCTTCATCTTTTCACTTAATTTTGTTAAAGAAATTATCTAACTTAATAGGTTATTTTATATTTACGTTAAAAATATTTAAAAAATATAACAGACACTAATATATAATAGATCGTATATTTATTTAAATATACGAATATATAGACTTGAATAATCTCAAATATGGATCCAAAATAAGCTACGACCAAGTGGAGTAATTGAAGTTATCGAATTTGACGCCTATAACGATCATATCTCAAGTAAATTTTATCTCTTAAGAGGAATATTATCAGAAAAAAAATATCTTTTCCATGAAAAAATTATAGTTTTGAAGAACTTCAGTTTAACATGACGAGAAAAAGCTTGCACGAAAATTCTAAAGAAAGAAACAAGCCATCACGTGGATACGTGTTCGTACGTGTCGCTTGCATAACATAGTCTAAGACCATGCCGGACAACGTACGGCTACCTTCCAGCGATGACCATGTGTCTGGTCTGCGAGGTGTCAATTTACTATGGGGGAAATGGGAAAATAAATGAATATATATATATATATATATATATTAAGAAAAATGCGTTCTTATCCTTTTCCTATTTTATATATATATATATATAAAATATCTTTCAAGGGAAAGGATAAGAACGCATTTTTCTTAACACATTCCTCAATGTACCATCTATTATACTCTGTAAAGTTCGCAATTAATTGACATGTTTTTATGAAAACATAAATGCGACACTTTATCTTAATAAGAATTCAGAGATTTATACGAAAGCAAGTTGAAATGAAACACCGACAAAGGAGTACCGAGTACACGATGATATATAAAAGCAAGGGTACATAACAACAGAAAGAGAATCCATGGCTATCCGAAATGTTAAAGAGACGGGCCACCGAAATGGCCCAGTGTTTTATTTTGTAGGGGGTAATGGGCCACGTGTATAACGCAAAGCCTAATAGCTTGACAACGCTACAGGAAATGTTTAGCTGACACATGTCCTTCGATTCAATCCTTGGTCCTCCATCACACACTGATAAGGACAACAAATATAGGACATGTGTACCTCGTGAATGCTTTTCATCTATGATCCAACTAATCGAACAACTCCGTAGCCAACAAGAATATCATCACCATTCATTTTTAATTCCATTTCCCACTCTTAAAATAACCAAATTTGGGTTCAACAATCACTCTTAAATAATTCCATGTCCCACCTTTCTACAAAAAGCGAATGAAAAGAATTATCTTTCCATAGTCTGATTGAGTAATATCAATTTTACTCTCAATAAACTTCTAAACATGTCTTATATTTATCATTTTATCCTTCAACTTCTTTGTCTTTTTACAAAGTTAACTTTTAGTCTAAAGAAGCATTTTCGTCCGATTTCTTAGTTGAGCAACTTCAAAGACAGTCAACCTTAAAATTTAAAGAACAGTTTTTTAACCAATTGACTATGGTAAAGCAACACTAGTTTACTCAAGCAACCGTTTTTTATGACCCACTTATAATTATGTACAACGCTCCATTGACGGTGCCTTTACTTTACGATTAAAGAAGAGTTGAGTAAAAAATTGGCTTCATATCTCAATTTCTTTTGCACTTCGTGTAAAAAATACCCTTTTTACACATAATCCATTCTCTCTTTCGTAGAGTATATCACTTATAAAGATGCTATAACTCAGTGGAATCGTAAGCTTAGTTTGTTGGGGATGGTTTCATGAACTTAAAAGAGTAAGGATTTGACCACTACGGCACTGTTCAAAGCAAGTAGAGACAAGCCACATTAGACAGCACAAAAGGACTTTCTTCTCTCAGCTTATTCTTACCCGTTTATTTGGGCGGGTAAAGGACTCCGACGGGTCGGGTTCTTACATCCCCTTAATGGTTCTCAAGTAGTAATAAGTGGATTTACCCATCCGATTCATATTTAAAGAAGAAGAAAAAACATATATGAACATATTCTGCATGCAAGTTTACAGCTAAACAGAGAGATCATAACTAACCGGCTAGTTTTTTCAATTTGAGAAGTTGCATCCTTTAAATAAGACTAATATGATAATTGTTTTTAAACCCTAGAACATGATTTCTGTGGAGGAAGATTAGCACTGCGACAACTAGGTCCAATCCCTTCATATTTTTGGGGTTGCAAATATTCTAAGTTATGATATATAACAGATAAACATAGATAAATCCAGAAATCTTGGTTACCTGTACAAAACTCTACAAGAAAACAACCGACACATATATGCTGGGTGGGTATTCACTGAGCATGCTTAACAATTCTTTTAAAACACATGAATGGAGAATTTTTTACAGATATAATAAGCGTAACTAAAAACACATTTTCTTTTTACTAAACGGTTGAACAAAAACACTACGCTCACCCGCCACCAGCATCTGCGGCAGCAACCCACCAAACATGTTTTAATTATTTAAATTAAGCAATTCCAGAAAACATTGCAAGACTAAATCCTTGCCACCAGACGCCACAGCGAAGAGCTTGAAATAAAGGAAACTGAAAGAGAAGTAGAGAAAGTAGGATTTACATAATCATATATTACCAGAAATTATTTTCTCGTTATTATTATCCTTAAATTTCTAATGAAATCTTGATATTTTCCGCGGCTATAAGTACCAAAGTTGGAGGGCCATGATAGCAAGTCTGTGGAAGCGTATAAAGCACACAGATGTTAAATCATATCAAGATCAAGACAATTTGTAAAAGACGAAAACCGACCAGTGACCACCATCTCAGCCAAAAGTGAGCTAGGAGCATTCTCTATACTATTTTTTTTTTCCTTTATACAAAGAATATGCTATTTATCTTCAGCTATATTACTCGAATAAGTCTCTGAATAATTAACTCTGACAAACAAGTGATTATGAGAGAGATAGAGAACCTGAGCCCCAGTTGGAGAAAGAAGATAATCACGATCTTGGGAAGCAAGGAGATGTGAGAATTTGCCGTTGTGAGAATTATCATTCACCACAGCTTGAGTTTCATCCTTCATCACCGCTCTCATCACTTTCTCTCTCTTTTTTCTTTTTCTTTTTCTTTGTTTTGTACTGTGTAACAATCTAGAGACGAAAGCACCGGGAGGAGAGTACGAGCGTTCTCATACACTCGACACTTATATTCATTAGAAATAGAATCATATTCTTTCCACATCATTACATCCTATGCATCCACAAATCACACACCAAAACCTTCACACGTAGCATTCATCTGCGCCCCGGGATAATACCAGCCTACACCGCACACACATGGGGAATGATGGTGCAGCCTTTTTGATTGCGCGATGTCATCCACGTGCAGTGGAGTCAGCGAAGGGATAAAATAAAGGCCACGTGTATGGTGGTGATTTTCGAATGGGTTATTATTAGTTGCTGTATCTTCTGGCCACCGTGATATGGAAGGTCCGTGTTGTCATAAAAGACTTTTGAATTTGAATAAATTGATGATGCCGAATACGGCAAAACTCTTCTTCCAACACCTGTCACTCCTTTAATTTCCTTTACTTTTCACTCCTCACTCCTCTTTCTGCTCAAGCTTTCATAGCCTACCTTTTTCCGTACATTGTTATTTGTTTGTAACGTGTGAAATCACAATTTCCGTTATTACACAACATTTTTCACCTTTTAATTCCACGTAAAAGTTTCTAAAAGGTTGTATGTGATTGCCCCTATCAAATATTCATACCCATAAAATAATAACACATAATATTAAAAAATTGTTAAAAAAAATTGTTAAAGTATCATAATCCTAATTACATTCCTACCATTTTTCTTTCTAATTTTCGAAAATAATGTTTGCCACCTTTTGTTTCCTTTTAGAACATGGGTTTTTAGAAAAAGAAAAGAATTTTAAAATAAATTTTAATTAGATTCTCTATGATGAGAGTAAAATGTAAGGGATGTTACAAGGCCTAGAGGAAAGATCAGGATCCCAATTATTTTTATTCTTAATTTCTAAATTAGTATATAAATAAAAGTTTGTTTTTAATTTCATATATTTCACACTCAAATATTTTTATACATTTATATTGATACTTTAAAAAGAAACTAAGATCCAAATATTACACTCTTATAAGACTATCTTATAAATTTTAGACCCAACACAAATAACTCATTTAAATGTTATATATAGTCACCTTTCACAAGATATATAAGTATAATTATTTATTATAACTTTTCTATTTATTGTAAGTAACTAACTTATGTGTTAGAGTATTTTTACATACTCTTCCATCGAGTTCATTTCATTTTTATTGACAAAAAAACACACATCCATTAATAATAGATAACGCATCAGTGAACTTAAGCTTCCTAATATACCTATGTTTAATAAAAAGACTTATCTACTTCTAAATATATTTCGACCAAAGCGTGAAAAATAAAAATAAAAGTAATATCTATATGCGAAAGGCATTAATAAAATACACAATTGATTAAGATATTATTTTGTATTATGTTTGAAAAAAAAAATAGATAATGTATTCGATTATATTATCTATTTAAAACTTTTATACAAATGTAATTTATTATATGTTTCGAAAGTAACACGCATATTGACTATTAAATGTCATAATAAATTATAATGGCAAAGTATTTATAAAAAGTTTATGAAAATACAATATATCTAATAAAATTAATATAATTACCATGGCAACTTTAAATAAATATTTATTTATCTTTCTTTCACTGTATATTTAATTTTTAATCAAGTATTTCTTTTTTCTTTTTTTCTTTTTTCATCGCCTATTTGTTCTCTCTATTTTTTTCCCTTCCAAACAACATCAAAACTAACCTTCTTTACTGCCAAACGTTTTTTTAGTGAAAATGACATAAATTAGTTTATTTTGGCTCAATCTCTCCTAGGTCAAAAATATATTAAGATTTAGTCTATTAAAAAATTAAAATTTTCACAAATTAACACGGCTTAATGTTAACTTTTTGGGAAGTATACCAAATTATTCCAAATAATACAATGAATAAGTAAAAGTATCGTCTCCCAAGCGACTTGTGCAACACATGACAATTCTTCCTTTTATAACTCAATTAGATGTAAAAATGCACAAAACAACACAAAAAACTATTTTTGGTATTTTATCAAACAGTTGGTGTGCAAAGAATTTATATTTAAAAGAAACTTCGTCGGAATTAGGTTTCATGAATCATATGAATATAAAACTCTGTTCAATATTTCATTACTTGATTCAAACATTCACATCATAAAGAAACTCTGGTGCGCTATGCGAATTTTCTTGTTCTGACCGTGCGAATTTTGGCTTTGGCTTTGCGAAAATTGGCTGACAGAGTCTAAATAATACACCATTTCCTGTAAAATATTTTACATAACAATCTATACCTATTATAACTTTTCAATGAAGAACAACATGAATAATTACAAGATTGAGCTTATTTATAACTATAAAAACAACTCTTTTTCACACTTATCACTTAACGTCAACCTAACAGAAATATGATCAGATTAAACCATTTTAAAAAAAAGGAAGAAGACTATATTAAACAAAAAAAAAACATAATAAAAAAATAAAATTAAATCAACCAAAAAAATACTCTGACTAAATGTATAAGTGAGCTTAATTTTTAATACTAACTAATAGAATTTTACTTTCTTATTATTATTAATTTTAAATTTTCGTCTTCAAAATAGTACACTTGTTATTTTACACTCAAGTGATTGTTTTTATGCAATGTTAAAATGTTCACTTAAACGGACAAAATATAAGTCTATTATTTTGTATGGGTACAGTGAGTTTTTGGGGAGACTTAATTCCAACCGTAGAACATCCGCCATTGACATTTTCCACCTCTTTCTACATTCTACAACTTATTTTTATTAGAGCTATCAAAATAATCACAACCTGCGAGCCAATTCGGACCACCACGGGTTTGAGTTAGGTTGAATTAGAAAAAATTATATTTTTATGCGGGTCTGATTTCAATCCGACTCGTTTAAACCTGGCTCATGCGGGTTGCGTGATAGACCAAGTTGGCCCACTAACCCACCTACATAATTTTATTTTATTAAAATTTAATTTTAATTTTATAAAAAAATATTTATTATTTTGTTTTTGTTTGAAAAAGTTATTTAAGTTTCTTATTTTCAAAATTAGTTAAACACCCCTGTTTGGGAGTGAAATTTGTTTAGATTTGTATTATAGAAAGTTTGTAAGTTTTTTTTATTTTGAAAAAATTGTAATTAAGTGAGTCAACCCAATTAACCCATGGAAGGTCGGATTCGAATTTTTCTGACTCGCTTATAAATTAACTGGATTAAATTGACTCGCTAAATGATCAATCCGTGATAGAGTAGATGGAATTGAGTCGGGTGACTTTTTAACAACTCTAATTCTTATCCTTCTTTCTTCGTCACTGCTTCGACTTGTGCCCCGTCGATTCTTAGGTTCAAGGAAAAAAAAATAGAATGCAACGCGTGACTCTTTCATGTTAGAAACGTGTAATCGAATGACGCGAGCAATGAGTTTTTCTTAAAAAAATTAGAGAAAATTCAGAAAAAAAAAAGAAAAAAAAACCGGACAATGTTCCTATGTATAATGAACATGACGACAATTGGACAATTATCTTATAGTTATAAACTACTGGCAAAGGTCGTGTTATAAAAAATGCTGAAAAGTGTAACTATGAAAAGGTGGTTGGGAATAATTTCTTTAATGAATGAAATTAATAAATATTTAAAGGATTACAAATTTATCCTTATACTCGTATCGTATTAATCTCAGTTCATATTTATTCTTTCTAACAAAAAGTACATTACATTTATATCAACTTGGTATCTCACAGGATTAGCAATTCAAATTAATTCTACCAAAAGATAACTGAAATGCTGAAAACTAACATGTCTATTGATAATAATAATTTACAAAAGTTATTACAACATTTGCAAGTAAAACATTTAGTTTAGTTGAGCTGTCATTAACGAAACAGTTCACATCTTGAAAACATAATAGGAACTTATTCGAAGACCTAGCACGTGGGAACTAATTCTCCAATCTCCAAGAACGATTTCGCGTATCAAACTTTTCTGCCTGTACGTTTAGATGTGAACGTGATTTTCAAATTTGTTAGGATATTTCTTGAAAGTGTTGTCACTTAAGATTGATAAACACTCAAATGATAGGTGCTTAAACGATAAAGTAGTTATTGGAACTAGAAAAACTTAAGACCAAATAGTAGTGTTCTCGTGTTACATTTTGCTTAAGTGAAAAAGTTGTGTTTAGAAAAAAAGTTTTGCTTATAAGAGATAGTTTAAGGATTGTATGTTGAGAAGTAATAATTTTATTTTTAAGTTATATACTTGGGAGTTTCTCTCTTCACCTCACCAATATCATCCTGCCCTTCCCTTCTTCTTTTTATTTACAATTATACCCTTTTCAGAAATAATCTTTTACTTTAAAAAAGTTGACCCATTTAATGATTAAATTGAAGCAGCAGTCCTACACCCCTTCCCCTTCCTTATTGAGTTTAGCCTTATTACATTTCAGATTATTTTGTAAACCCTACACCTCTTCCTCCTCATTGTCTCTTCTTGCTGCATTTCATTTCAAGCTCACATTTTTTCCCTCCCACACTCCTTCCCTCATCCCTCATCACTAACTTCATTTGTTTTTAAGTTCTTATGGTGGTGTGGTCTCCACTTCCTCCTTTATTATATGATTTAGTGGTTGTGTGGCTGTGTGGTGTTTAGTGCAATAGTGTAGATATTCTTCTTCTTAGATAATTAACTTCAAGCTTTGGACAGATTTCCTTAAGGTCATTGTATGATATAACAGAGTATATCATGCATTGAGTGTGATAAAATGTTAAATTTGTTATTATTATAGAATTTGTGTTTGATATGCGTTGATCTGTGTTTGTTTCATTTTTTATCTCTCTATTTCGTTTTTGATCTATGTTGAGGGAAGAAATTGGACTCTTAACCACACTTGGGATTGCGAATCAGGCCCTGTCGTACATGGAACTACGGTCATCGCACATGGAAGTGCGGCTGGGAGGGATGGGAACCGCACTTGGAGCTACGGTTGATGAGTCGTCGCAGTTGGACCTGCGGTTGGTGTTCAACACTTTTGCATGCAGCCGCACTTGGAACTGCGGATGCGGATGAGGCTAGCTGCATCGACCTGCGGTTTACGGTGGCTACACTTGAAGCTG